AAAAATAAGAGCTGTCAAAGTTTTATATAGTTGACACCAAATGACAGGCATCTAATTTAAAAAATCCATATAATAAATATTCAAACAGAAACTTGAATCATGAAAGTAATTTTATTTGAACAAAGTTCAGTATTTTTTTTATTTCTTGTATAAATAAAACAACAAATATTAAATAAATTATTAAATTATTAATTTTTTATAAATTTTATATTTTGACAAATTGCACAAGTTTGGTCACCATCTAATTTCAGTCATTTAAGAATAAATAACAAAAATGTATGCAAATTTTTATAAAACTTTTTTTATCCAATACTATTTGTTATCATTTCATGAATAAAAAAAGTATGTTTATATAAAATCTGCTGAAATAATTCATTTGCTACAAGAATTTTAAAATTATGCATACTGTTGAAACCTAAAGTAAGCGAGGTATTGAATAAAGTGAATAAATTTAGCACTAATATTATTAGGAATTTTAAATTTGTCTTTAAATTAACAATATTTGTAAAAAAAAATTTGATTTTAAATATTAAGAACTTTTATTCTTTATAATCAGTGAAACTTTAAAATAACTTTGGTCACTTATGGATTATGCAACAATGCATCACTAAATAAACAAACAACATACATACATAAAACAATTACCAGTCAAACTGTTCCAATTTCTGAAACATTGAATGCTAATTTTTGTTTTTATTTTTAACGATATAATTGTATTTATAATTCAGAAAAAAAAATTTAATAAATGTTTATGCTTTGATTATTTAAAACTTAAGTGACCAAACTTTGATTATTTAAAACTTAAGTGACCAAAATTTGACTATTTAAAACTTAAGTGACCAAACTTTGGCAATTTTACGGTATATTATTATTATTTTATAATTACATTATTTGAGTTATTTTATTCTTGAGGGAAAAGATAACTATGATAGTTTCCTGAATACTGAAGAAAATAAACTATTAGCAATAATTTCAAAACAAATTTCAAATCAATTGCAAGGTGTTTTAAAAAAAAATCCAAAAGACCAAATGAGTGGTTGTAGTACCTTAAAATCAGTCAAAATATTCATAAAAAATACAAGTAGCCTCCTCAACTGTAGTCTATCCTTTGGTCTTCAGGAGAAAATAAAAAAATAATTACATTAAAACTGATATTTAAGCTGAATCTGCAAAATCAATTACTGAAAAGGTTAACACTTTAAGAAAATAAAATTTCTTACTAAACTATATTAAACATCAATGCAAACAAATGTTGTTTAATTTTAGAAAATAAAATTTCTTACTAAACTATATTAAACATCAATGCAAACAAATGTTGTTTAATTTTAGAAAATAAAATTTCTTACTAAACTATATTAAAACATATGTTTAATTTTATATCTGAATAAGTTTAATAAACAAATTTTAAATTATTTTTTTTTTTTGAAGAAGTATTATTTAAATAAGTTTATAATTTTATCTTTTTTAAGTTTTATTTTAACTTTTTTTTATATATTACTCAAAATTTAAAAATTGCAAATCATCGTCAAAGAAATTTCTGTGAAACATAATTTAAGTAGACAAAGAATCAAATAATGAAGAAAGTGATAGAATTTATCTGAATGCAACCAATCTCTTACAATTGAGCCTCAGATGTATATAAATATGAAGCAAATTGCAGAAGATCCGTTATCATATTGGAACTTGATGAAGAGTGAGCGAGACAAATTCTAGAAAAATCAAAAGTGAGTGAGACCAAAAGAACTTCCAAGAATTACTACAAAGATTTACTATAAAGAGTTACAACTACTTATGAATGTTACATCTACAAATGTTACAACTATGAATGTCACAACAAAGAATGTTACAACAAAGAATATTACAACTATTTTTTATTTTTTAAAAAAACAGTAAAGAACATAATAAAACAAATAATTATCTAGCCCATGCTAATAACCATATAGTATAACATTAATTAACTAGGGCAAGGATCTAAAAAACTAAAATTAAGCTAGAGTCAACTGCCCTGGTCACTAATTTTTTTTAATGTTATTCAAATCTCTAAAGCCAAGTGGCTCACTACAGTCAAAGAGGCTACTTTTTTGTGGTTACATCTCTCTATCAACGTTTAACTTTGCAACACTAGGTGTGCATTAAACTTGAAACTACTTACTTATAAAGTGAGTGCTCACAACTAAACCACTACTGCATTAGGTTGGGGTTTAGAAAAGGACTTAATTTAGTTTGTTCTGAAGTTGGTACTATATTTTTTGTATTTTATATTTATTTATTGTTATAAATGTTTATACAGAATTGCATTGTTCAAATTGATAAATAAAATTACTGTCAGTGTTAAAATAGGGACATTTATACTAAAATATTGAAAAAACTTTATTACGTTCTTTAAATAGTTTATACAATAAACTTAAATTAAAAGAATAAATTTAAAGAACTTAATAAAGATAAAATATAATTTATATACCTGATATTGTAGGACCATGATAAAATATAAGTCCATTACTGTCTAATGTTGAAAACTCAAATGATATGGTCCCTTCATAAAAGTAGCTGATTGATTTTAACAAGAAAAATCCATCTTTTTCAAAATATCTGGTTGAGAGTTGGCACTGCAGACCATCAAAACCTTGCATACATTTGCATCGATAACCTGAAGGAAAAATTGGATAACATGTTCCACCATTTAGACAAGGATTTTCAGGACCTTCTTTACACAAATCAACCTAAAATATTTTTTTAAAATAAAAATAAATTAAAACTATCCAGTTCTAAATAATGGCCAACCCTATTTATGGGCCAAATGCGACTTCATAAAGCCTAAGGTTAATAACTTTTTGATAATTAAAACTCTCTTCTAATTTAAAAGTTCTTGAAAAAAAATTTCTATGGCATTTCAAGGACTTTAGGTATTTAGGTGCATTGTTTTAAAAATGCAAAAATTGAATTTGAATTACTTAAAAAGCCAATATAGTACATAGCCATAAACCCTTTTTCATCATTGTTCTTAGAACATCATTGTTCCAAGGCAAAGTACTTTAAAGGTAGGCAAAAAAGTTCTTTTGACCAGTCTCACATTCCTTTATCATCAGGCTGGTATAGATGTTAACTTGTTACATTATTTCCTGCCTAGGATGATGAACACTGGATCTTCTTGACTCTAATTTTTGTTTGTGCCTTCTTGTTAGTGTCTATAACTGTGTATTAACACGCGCTAAATTAACAAAGTGGCTTGTTCATGTTGCACATGGACAAACCACTTTGTTAATTAACATAATTAGATGGACTGAGGAACCTTATGCTTAAGTTGTCATACACTATGATTAAGTCTCTGATATCTTAAAGCATGACAGAAGTATCTCAAAATATTAAACATAATAAACCACCACCACCACCTACCACCACCTAAATGTTTCAATCTATAATATATATGCAAAAATTTATTAAGGCACATTTTTATTTGTTACCTCTTGCAATGTTAACAAAACTTAATTGCTTTTTGTAAAACTAACTTGTTTTGAATTTGAATTTCTTTTTTTGGGATGAATATTCAATGATTTGCAACAATATCAAAAGTCACACGCCTGTCCTATAAAGTCACATGCCAATCCTGGACATATACTTATATATTAATTCATCAGTTTAATGTGAAATCAGATTTAAAATCAAAGCGACCTTTTATTTTTGAAAACCACTGTATATATATGTGTATATATATATATATATATATATATATATATATATATATATAAATATATATATATATATATATATATATATATATATATATATATATATATATATATATATATATATATATATATATATATATATATATATATATATATATATATATATATATGTATATATATATATATATATAGACAATACTTTTCCAAATATAGTGTGGCTTTAGTGGCATTCTCTGTAGCCCAAAACCTGCTGTCATATACATATATAAATATATATTTGTATGTGTGTGTATATACATATATGTGTGTGTATATGCATATATACTATTTTAAAAAATGGAAAATATATATATATATATATATATATATATATATATATATATATATATATATATATATGTATATATATATATATATATATATATATATATATATATATATATATATATATATATATATACATATATATATATATATATATATGTCATATATATATATATATATATATATATATATATATATATATATATATATATATATATATATATATATATATACATATATATATATAAAAGTCTTTGCAGGAAGCGTGTGCTGTCGCACACCTTGTTTGTCCACATTTAAAGTAATTTTTTTAGACATACTGACCACAGCAGTTTGCATCTTTCTTATAAAGCGCTTCAATAATTCGCTGCAAAAAGCTTAACTACTGAGCTTAAAAAACTATTTTAAAAAATGGAAACAAAATTGTAACAAAATATCAAGTTTTAATTAATTAAACTAGAAAAATTACTAATTAAAAAAAAAAAAAATTAAAACTAAGTTGTTTATAGCTCCCTTTAATAACCTTTAATATTGTTTATAGCTTTTTAATAAACTAGAAAAGTCAATAACTTAAAAAAAAAATTAGGTTGTTGTTTTTAGCTACCGAACTTGATACGAGTCGGTGAAAAAAACATATTTAAATTTAAAAACATAAAAAAAGTTTCCTAAAAATTATGTTAAAAAATTCAATAAATTAACAATGCATTAGCCCAGGGGCTTTTGGAGTATGGTCAATAGCAATAGTTCATCAGGAAATAAACTACCGGGTTTAAATGCACAATTTTGATAATCTAACAAAAGTGCAGACTATTTCCATGGGGGTAGTAAAACAAAATATTTTATATTTGAATATAAGTATTAATGACTTTTTATATTTTTACATTAAAAACTTGTTAAAAAGAAAAAAAAATTTGTTACAAATAAATAGCAATTAGTTTTCTCTCTTTCTAGTGCATTGATAAAAAACAGTAAAGTTTAGCAAAAACATTCAAAAAACAAATTTAAATTGTATATGTTTCACTTTTTTTTTTTTTTAATATTCAATTTCTTTTAACTTATTTTACTTAGATTTTCTATTTTGTATATTCATATTCTCACTCTTCAATTCCTTTTTTTTCTGTTTTATTCTCTCTAGTTTCTTATATATATATATATATATATATATATATATATATATATATATATATATATATATATATATATATATATATATATATATATATATATATATATATATATATATATATATATATATATATATATATACACACACATATGTATACATATGTATATATATATATATACATATATATATATACACACACATATGTATACATATGTATATATATATATATACATATATATCCACACATATATATTTGTGTGTATATAATATTGCAACTCTGAGTTTCATGTGTTACTACAATCATCAGGCAAGTAGTAAAAATTTTGCTACCAAATATTGTTGTATAATATTTGGTAACAAAATTAAACTTTTACTACTTGCCTGATGATTGTGGTAACAAATGAAATTCAGAGTTGAAATACTAAATTATACTATAAACATTACCATTTAGCTAATTCCTGGTACTGCTGGTAACAGTAACATATACACTATATAACTCTAGTTTATCTATTGAGCACTCTTTTAAGTATACAATATTATACATGATAATATAAAGATCTTTTCTTTATTCATATATATATATACACTTATGTATATATATGATGATGTTTTAAAGAAACCTTTACCTTGCGTATCTCTGACACACAAACAGCCACATCATGAACATCCATAGAAATAAATATTCTGGCAGAGGGTTTAGGAGGAATAATACCATTTTTATCAGTAACAATAGTATATTGATTAGATGCAAATATATCATTGTAACAAAAACCCACTGTACATGGCTCTTTTGCACATGGATCAACACCAACACTGTGAACTTGTCCCCCTATTTAAATTTTTTTTTGAAATTTATGTTGAAATTAATTTCTGTTACAATTATACATAAAAAATTTGACTAACTTACCAACAAACCGTTCAATCTCGTGAATGTGAGGGGTCAACTTAGCAATAATTTCAATTGGAAGCAAGTAGTCTTCAGTCTCACTTTCTATAAACCGCCTGACATAAAAGCGAATATCTACACCTCTGTAGAGAGAAGGAACCTCAATGGCACTGAAAATTTTTATTTGGGTGATATCAACATTAAGTAACTGTGCTAAAAATGGTGCCATATCAGGATAAGGTATTTCCTTGCAAGTTAAATTTTTTTGCATACCAGTAATGCGAATTGCAATGCTGTTTTTAGTTGCCTGTTCTGTAACTTCTTTTACTGATACAATGACTTTGCTAAATACTGTCTTTCCATTTACTTTACGCTCCGTTGATTGTATTTTAAGTTCATGCTCACCAAGGGGAAGAAGAGATGTAGCACTTATCATTCCGCTACTATCAATAGTAAAATACTTTGATTTGACTACATTTCCACTTGTAACAATTAAGTGATCACTGTCAAGTAGAATGTCATAATCATTAATATAAACATAGCCAATGCGTCCTCCAATGAACTTTCCATTGTATGCATTTAAGTCAATATTTAACAATCCTCCTTCAATAATACTATTATCTTTTACATCTTCAACCTCAACATAAACATATGTGAAACTTTTAAGTGGCGGAGAACCACTGTCTGCAGCAGACACCCTTAATACATAAAGTTGTTGGTTTGGCATATCTCTGTCAAAAATAGATGTTGAAGTTGTTTTAATTATAGCTTTGTTGTTAATGTTTGTTTTTTCCAAGTAAAACATTTTTGAAGGATCATCAACAATCTCAAAGTCACAGGGGCATTGGCTTCCCTTATCATCAGGGTCATTTACTTCTATGGTAGTAACCATTTGCTCCCCCTTAAATTCTTCTTTAATCTTTCCACAAAAATCAGGAGGAACAAAAATTGGTCCATTATCATTAATGTCAATAATATTTATGATAACTTGAGCGTATCCTGTTAAGGGTGGTTCACCGTGATCTTTTGCAGCTATTCTAAAAGTATATTGGTTTTGTTTTTCTCTATCTAATCTCCAGTCCACTTTTATCAAAGCAATATTTTGCTCTAAACTGCTTTTTTTCACAATAGTAAAATGATAGTTTTCATCTGCATCCACAATAAAAAAATCAAACATTCCATTTATACCAATATCACTGTCAGTTGCTGTTGCTTCAATCAACACAAAACCAATCTTAACATCCTCTTTCACGTCTCCTTGATAAGTTGGCAACTCGAACTGCGGACTATTATCGTTGCAGTCATTAATGAGGACAGTAACAGTAGCATTTTCTTTACCAATTAACTGTGGCAAACCTTTATCTCGCACACTAATGTATAAATCATATCGCTTTTCTTTTTCGTAATCTAATCTATGGGCAACAGTTATGAGACCAGTGTCAGGATCAATGCGAAACCTACGTGGAGTATTTCCACTTGTTATTGAATAAATAAGTTCTGTATTAACTGTATTGATTTCATCATCATCTTTTGCAGTCACTGTTGTGACATGATCACCAATAAATGTGCACTCTAGAAGAGTTGCTTCATAAACTTTTGGCACAAAGTAAGGGTATTGATCATTAGCATCAGTTACTAATATTATAACTTCAACAGAACTTGTAAGAGAATTTTTTCCACCGTGATCTGTGGCAGCCACAATTATTGTGAAATTATTGAATTTATCACTTTCACGATCTAATACTTTTGAAGTCCTTATCAATCCAGTGTTTGGATCAATGACAAATCGTTCTGCACTTTGTAATAGTGAATAAGTAATAATGGAATTTTCACCTTCATCTTGATCTGTTGCAGTAACATAGCCAACAATTGCACCTTCTTTTTGATTTTCTTGTACAACACGTAAATATGGCCCATCATTAAACTTTGGGGCTTCATCATTTACATCTGTAATTATGATTTTGATAGTAGAAGATCCTGTTCGTTCCCCATCAAATGCATATACAGTAAATGTATACATAGCTTTTTGTTCTCTATCAAAATGCATTAACCCTATAAAATAAAAAATACTTTACTTTATGCAATTTTAGTTGCACTAATAAATATCCTAAATTTTTGTTTTTGTTTTAAATTAAATTTCTATGACATTTTATAACTCTCCTGAAAACTTACAATTTGGTAGATACAGCTGTTTTACTTTGAGCCCTCAAACTGGCATAAGTATGCCAAAAATATTTGCAAACATTGGCATAAGTACAAACTAGCATATGTGTGAACTGATATAAGTTCTAAGCAGTTGCAAAAGGAATAAATGCAAAGCAGCATAAGTTCACTGAATAAGTTCGAAAGCATTGACATAGGTGCAAATTGGCATAAGTGCTAAATTGTCACAAAAACTAGCATAAGTGTGAATCAGCATAAGTGCCCAAATAAAATTACAAATATTAACATAAGTGCGAATTGGCATTTCACACTTATGTCAATTTTTGCAACTACTTTGCACTTATGCCAGTTGCACTTAAGCCATTGGCACTTATTCAGTCGTCCCTATTTTCTCAAAATTTTAAGACTAGAACAAGAAAGAATCATGACAATAAGCTATAAAATAATAGCTTAAAACATTATTAAAAAAAAAATTAAATAATTACTAATTAAATGATTTACTAATTACTATTATTATATTATTACTATTAAATGATTTACTAATTACTATTATTATATTATATAAATAACAATAAAACTTTTTTTTAGAAGATATAGTAAAAATATTTAGCAGAGATCAATGAACATTGATTACTAGTATTAAGAAAATTAAGGTCATGATTAGTGATCGACCGAAATTCGGTTCGGTTCCGGTTCCGGTCATAAATTTGGCCGGAATCGAAATTCCTGTTTCGGTTCCGGCTAGATTTGAGATTTCGGTTTCGGCCGGAATTTCGGTTCTAAATGCTACCGAAAATAGATATTATAAAACTTCATTTTAAATAAATTATTTAGCATTGTAGCGTAAATATATTTTGATTAAAAAAATTTAAATAATTTTTTTGTTAGTTATTTCAACTTCTTATATTATTTTTTGCGTCCGATTGCGTTGTTACTTTTATCTGGTTTTTAATTATCATGTTTAAAATATCATGATCTACAAATTTAATGACGCTACAATGTTATCTACATTGTAGAGTCATATGTTTATGGACTTGATTATTTATTTATTTTAATTATCGCATGGAATTGGTAACGATAAAATACGAACTTGGTGATTTTTTTTTAAATTATCACGTGGAATTTGTTTGAAATAAATTAAAAAAGTTTTTATTGGTTTCATTCATTTTTTTAAAGCAAGTTGTTTTAATGTTTTCTCGTCGTTAAAACATTAAAACAATAATGTTTTCTTGTCGTTATAACTTTTTTAATGTTTTCTCGTTTAAATTGTTAATTGTCTTTTTAACGAACTTTTTAATGTATTGAACTTTTTAATGTAACGTAAGAAATTTTTCTTAAATATATATATATATATATATATATATATATATATATATATATATATATATATATATATATATATATATATATATATATATATATATATTTATATATATATATATATTGTTAAGTTAACAACAATATTAATACAAATTATTATAATTAATAATTAATATAATTAACAAAGAACTTGTTAATTATATTTTAAATCCTTGTTCTTGACTCAAACTAGCAACATTAAAAAACTCATCTGATTAAGTTCTTCGATTTCATTTTAATAAAATGAGCTCAAACCGAAAAACAAGTTTAGTGTGGAAGTACTTCATAATTGAAGCAAACAATCCAAGAATGGTTCAGTGCAAAATCTGCAACAGCAAAGTTTCAAGAGGATCTGACGACCCAAAAAAACAAGGATTAAGTGAACTCACGTCACACCTGAAGAATCATCATCCTGACATCAAACTTACGCCCGAAAAAGCAGAAAATCCAAAGGCAAATGAAGAAGCTGACTTAAATTCCAACAAGAGAAAGGCAGTTACAATCTTCAACATGCGATCAAAAAAACAAAGATCCGACATGTTACAATCTACAATTCCAAACTGGGTTCAAGCTTCTTCAAAAATTGACTCTAATTCTGAAAAAGGCCAAAAATTTCACAAGTCAATTTTTGAAATGATGATTCTTGACCTCCAACCATGGTCTATTGTCAATGATGCTGGATTTTTGAGGCACCATGCTCTTATTGCTCCAAATTACGAAATTGCTAGCGAAAAATACTACAGAAGTTTACTGGATCCGACTTACGAAAAAATAGAAAGTTGCTCTCAAGGAAAAGCTGGTTCAATCAGAAGCTGAAAATGTGTCTGTCTGCCTTGATGCATGGTCATCATTTCATCATGGCTATCTGGGAATGACTGTTCACTTTATTTCCAAAGACTGGAACCGTGTCAAATTCTGCATCTCTTGTTCTCCATTTGATGAAAGTCATACTGCAAAAAATATTTTCAAAGAGATCAAAGCAGCAGCAGAGGAATGGGAAATTTCTTCAAAAATTGGAGTTTGCTTAAGAGACAACGCAGCAAATGTAAAAGCAGCCTTCAATGAGCCAAGCTGTAATTATAAGTCAGCTGGATGCCTTAACCACTCCCTTCAACTTGTGATAAAAAAAAACCTATTATCAGATCCTACCATCAACGAACTGATTGAAAAGAGTCGAAAACTTTGTTCTTACGCATCCCATTCTATTGGTTTCTACACTGAACTTTACAGACAGCAAGAAATCCAAATGGATAGAAAAGACAGACTTGGCTTAAAAAACGATGTTGCCACAAGATGGAACTCTACCTATTACATGCTTGAGCAAATTTTACACCTGAAACCAGCCATTGCTGCAACCTTACTCAAATTTCCTTCTGTGGGAATTGAATTTTCCGTCCAAGATTGGAGCCTCTATGAAAAAGTGGTGAGGATTTTAAGTGTTTTTGAGGAGGCAACAAAAATGTTGTCAGGTAGTGATTCTTGTATCAGTTCCTGCATTCCAATTGTGACAACAATAATTAAAGCTTTGGAAACAACCTCCGGCGACGTCAGTGTTCAGAAATTGAAAATAGCTATGAAAAATGCAATGGAAAAACGTTTTTCAGCAATTGAAAAAACAGAACATTATTCAGTTGCTACTTTACTTAATCCAAAATACAAATGGTATTTTTTCCGATCTCAAGCTGCTTTGCAAAATGCCAAACACATTGTCATGTCCCAAATGGAGAATTTTGAACCTCTTGAAGATGAATTGGCTCCTGTTACTCAAATTCCATCTGGTGACAATGAAAAAAACACGGCATTCTCGCACATAATGTCAAAAATTATTGCACAGTCTCAAACAGGACCAAATGAGCATTCATCTTCCAAAATGACGAGGGAAGTGTTGAAGGATTTTTTGGATTGTCCAATGGCTTCTCATTGCCTAGAATTTTGGAAAAACTATGAAAAAAATGCGACTAGCAAAATCAAGTTAGCATTGACTAAGGTGGCAAAAAAGTACCTCACACCACCCCCAACATCCACAGATGTTGAAAGATTGTTTTCTACAGCTGGAGATATTCTATCTAACGAAAGAAACAGACTCCTTCCAGAAAATTTGGAAAAACTCCTTTTTTGTCGAGAAAATCTTGCAGTTGTTGGATTCTGCTATTAATCATTTTTTATTAATTTAACTTTGTGTTTTAATTGGAATAAACTTGCAAACAAAAACTATTATTTATTTTCGGTTCCGGTTTCGGTTTCGGCTCTGGTTAGGGTTTACTTTCGGTTCCGGTTCCGGTTAGGAATATTTAAAATCTATTTTCGGTTCGGTTCCGGTTCCGGCAAAATTTCAGTGCCGGTCGATCACTAGTCATGATATATTAGATTAAGGTTTGTCATGTTATATTAGATTAAGCTTTGTCATGATATATTAGATTAAGTTTGTCATTATATATTAGATTATGGTTTGTCATGATATATTAGATTTAGTCAAGGGCATTAGCCAGGAAAAAATTTATGCAGCTGTTTTGTGATATTGAGAATTTAGAAAACTTGTATAAATAAACTTGTATGGCAGTAAATATATTTTTTTCTTTAATAATTTTTTTTTTTTATGTAAATGTAATTTTTTTTATGTAAATGTAATGTAAAATAAAAAATATGTTTAATAGTGTTTGTTTTTATGATTATAAACTATTTTAACAATTTTCACATTCCTCTAACAACTTTTTAACTTTTTAAATTGACAATTGTCTGAAATTTTAAATGTATTTAAAATGCATTTTAAATGTATTTTATGGAAGTTTTTATATTTTGTTTAAAATACTTCCAAAATTTATTAAAACTTTTTAATATAGATTTTTTATATGATATATCATTTTATATGATATATCATTTTTTTATCGTAAAGTTTTTTAATATAATTTTATCACTAAATAAATTTTTGTGTAAATTTTAAATAAATTTATTGAGTTTTAAAACTGCATTAAATATGATATTTAAAGCACAAAACATTTGTAATGTCAGGCCTTGCGATAAAGCGTCTGGCGATGTGAATTTTACGTCGTCCAAGAGCGATTTTGCGTGTAGCTAGGGCTATTTGCGTCAAGCAAAAAATTTTTTGTTTGAGTATATTTAAAGATATTTTTGAGCGGAATTTTAATGCAGTAATTTACGATTATTTTAACATTTAATAAAGTATTTTAAAAACCGCACGCAGTTGAAATAAAAGTTTGAATTAAAAAAAATTAAATATGCTCATTATTTACAGGTAGAAAAAATTCAGATTAAAAAAAAAGTTTAAATCTTTTAAGCTAACATTTTATTAAAATTATTCAGCAATAGCAAAGTTGTTGATAAAATTGAACAAAAATACTTTCTTTTAGTTTTAGATTTTAAACTTAAATAGCTATTTTACGGGGGTTTGTTAGGTTTTAAAATTATTCCATAGATTTAAAAATATTTATTAACTGTTAGACGTATTTAAAGTATTTAAGAGTAATTTTGAGGAAACATTTTAAAAATTGGTAAGCGCAAATAAAAAAAAAAAAAAAGAACTTATATTAAAACGTATTCTACTTGATTTAATAAAAAAGTACAGTTATTAAAATTTTTGTAAAAAGTAACTCAAAAAAACTACTTAAATAATAACGATCGCTTTTATGTTAAAAGTTACCGAAACTCAACGAAGCGTGCTCAAGAACAGCTGCTGAAAAATAAAACTTCAATAGTTTTTCGAATAATTTTTAATAATTTTTAAGAATAATTTTTTCGCTGAAATATTTCTTTTATACCTGTAAGATTTTTATTCTAACATTTTATTTTATTTTGCTAGAAATAAAATTCCTTGTTAACATTAAAAATCTATTCAAAACATTCATTTAAGTTTTTTATTAATACGAGTGATTGTGCTTATCAACCGCTTTATGAAAATAAATAAAAATAAATAAACAAATATTATATAAAATCGCTTGTAAAAATATTAGCTATTGCACAGTTTTTAATCGTACAATATTAAAATTTCCAGTTTATTACTCGCTGACTTTTTAAAAAGAAAAAATTATTATTTGAAAAACTTTAAATTACATATTTAAGAAAAAAAAAATCAAATATTAGCATATTTTATAATCTTTTTTAAATTTAAGTTATAATGTTTTTTATTCGTTTAGTATAGACAAAACGTGACAAACGTCGAGAAAATAAACAAATGTTTTTACATTTTAAAAAACAAAACGTTCCAAAACATTTTTAAATAATAACATTTCTACATATACGATTTAAAGTAGTTTTGCGGTAATTAAGTAAATTGGTGCAGTTAATGTTGATAAATATGAAAAGCAAATAAAAAGAATTTAATGACGTCAAAAATCACGTCGTGCTTATGAGTCGCGCAGTTCTTTTCATCGCAAGGCCTGTAATGTTCTTTAAAACATTGTAAAAAATAAGTTAAAAAAAAATTATTAAAACTGATAGCTTAATAGCTTTCAGATAAATGACTTGCTTGCCAATGACTTGCTTGCCAATGACTTGCTTGGCAATTTTAGTTGAATAAAATGTTAATTAAAAAAGTTTTGTTGGCTATATGCTATTTTAAAATTAATTCAAATAAACAATAGTGTTTAAGGGGCAGAGTGAGATTTATTCACCGCATGAGGACAGCAAGCAAATTTAAGCAAATCTGAATCTAGAAACTTTTGTATTTATAAATTAAAAAAAAAAATTCAATATTTTTATTTGTATAATTTGTATTTGTAAATTCAACTTTTATATTAAAGATTTTTTAAAAATAATAATATTAATTTATGTAAATATCAATTTTCCTTTTAATGTTTTATGCATATAATTTTGGTGAACTTTACCAGCAAATTTAGTTTACCAAAAGTATTTTTAATAATTATTTAATGGAGGTAAATGCCATTTTGATTAAAATTATTTTTAACCAAAATGACATTTACCTCCACAATTTTTATTATATTTACTATGCAAAGAGTTTTGTAACTTTCCTAACCTAACATAAACAGCAGTAAAAATATAAATAAATGTGTTTTTAAATATTAAAAATGAATAAATAAAAAAACAATAATATAATAAGCGTAATGGAAAAACTAAAAAACAACATTAATTAAAAAATATTTTTTTTAACTTTTAAACAAATGACCTGGTGACATCAGGCTGGCTAACACCTTTTGTAGTCATACAAGAATAATTTGTCTTTGACAAGTGTCAAAGTAATTCTTTGACACTTATCAAAAATATGTTCTTTATTTAATTTTTCTTAATGAAAAACACTAAGACCAATTATTGAGATAATACAGAAATTAATTAATGGAATAAACTAAAGAGAAAAATTAGCTAAAAAAGAATGATTACCTGTAGAAATTTCTCCCGTGTTTTTATCAATAATAAAGTAGCCTTGAATTTCTAGAGAAAGAGAATAAGTGATAGGAAGTTGGACAGAAGCAGTGTCTTTATCTGTTGCATGCACTTTAATGACAAATATTCCACTTTTTGAATTTTCTATAATAGTACTATTGTAAAGTGACTCATCAAAGACAGGATCATTGTCATTAACATCTCTAATCTAAAGTTAAAAATCTTATTCTAAATTGAGTTAAAAAATTATTTAAAAATAAGACAGTCCCAGATATCTCAAAAAATTAAAATTCACAAATTCATAAACAAAATCTTTCATATGTAAACACAATGTTTCTGTTAAATTTTTCTCTGAACAAGCTTTAAATAAAAGAAAGAAAAAAATCAACTAATCAGAAATCACAACCATGACTTTAAGAAAAAAATGAAGCGTCGGTATCGTTGCGCAAGCAACAGTGCTTAAATATTTTTCATTAAATCAAAAAATTTCATAATCATTTAAAAAATTTGTTCATTCATGTCATTTGAGTTCTACAGTTTTCTGTAGAACTCAATAAGATTATAATTATGTAACAACCATGATTACCAATATGAATATCATCATCATCATCATCGTTGTCATCGTCATTGTTTTCGTCATCATCATCATCATCATCATCATCATCATCACAGGTTTGGTCGGGAAGCGGGAGTGATCGCTCTTGAATACTGACTACAGAAATTATATTTAGTTGCGAAAAACTGGCCAGGTTTTTTAGTTGTTTTTAGAACATTTAAGTTTATGTACAAAACAAAAAAATTTTGTTTTACGGACATACATGGAAACATAAAGAACTTGAATGTTCTTAAAACATCTTGGTGCATGATAATAAAAAGAATAATCGCAAACACCAAAAAACTGCCAAATTAACGAACAAACTATTTCTATTGGTTCAAAAAATACGCTGACTAAGCGAAATAAAGTTCTAGAGTATTTCCTTGAAATGTTTGAGAAATTGTATTCACGATTTTTTACATTAAAAGATTTCTAGCATAAATTGTTTTAAGAATATATAATCGTAAAGAATGGCTCATTCTTGGAGCAACATCTGCAAAGCCATAAATCTTATAAACTATTATTATTTGTTTACAAAAATAAATGTTATAAATATATATTTTTAAATTGTCAAAATTTGGAAAGTTAATTATAAATTATAAATTTAAATACATGCGGTAGTGGTGTAGTGGTAAAACACTCGCTTCAAATGCGAGAGGTTCCGAGTTCGATCCCCACCACGACCCTGGTAGTACCGCGCTCAACTTGTTTCTCCGTGCAGCGGCCTTGTTCATCAAGGTTCGTGTTTCAGAGTTATAGAGTTGAGAGAGGGTTATAACCACTATTAAGTAGCCTCCTCGTCTGTAGTGGCCTTCTCGGCCTTGAGGAGGTGAATAAAAAAAAAAAAAAAAAAAAAAAAAAAAAAAGTATGTATTTTTTTTGCAAATGTAATTTTGTGTATCTGTTTTTTATTGTAATGTAAACCTTTAAAGCAATTTTTATGATTTAGTTTGTAAACAAAGACTTACAAAAATAAAGTTATTTTTGTAAGTCTTTGCGTTTTCAATGAAGTTATTAATAATCATTAAAGTTAATAAAACTAATTATGTAACAAACATATAAGAAGTTTCTGCTTACTAAACACAAACAATGCATACAAAGTAAATTGCGGATGAACAAGCATTGCGTCTGAGGCCACGACAGAACAAAAATATATATAGCAAGTTATTTGATATAAAGAAAAGTTTCTAGATATTGGTTTACTAACTCTAATTTTTTTGCTTAAGTTGCTATTCTTAAAAACTCATTATACTTTTTTCTTCTTTAAATACTAATTAAAATTAAAAAGCCCACTCACTAAACATCATTATCGATATTGTGAAGCAGTTTTGCTTCCTCGCTTTTTTAGTTTTAGATTTTTATTTAGTTAATTTAATTTCTATAGTAATTCAATGATTTAATTATTTCATTTGTTAATCTAACTAAGAAGAATTGTTTCAAATATGTTAAACTTTTCAAACTACACGAAACATAAAATAGGTATTAAAAAAATTAACTTTTTTAATTATAAAATAATTTAGCTTAAAACTAAAACTTGCAAACTTTGTTAAATAAAGAACATTTGTTTCTATTTTAAACAATCGTAAGATGTTACTTTATGTAAAACCGTCGCTTAATTTCATAAAAAAAATATAAAAGAGCCATGTTTCAAAAATATTTGCTCTAAACGTAATTTATTTTGCTTTAGATTTTTTCGCGTTAAAAGATATTTTATTTTCCTAATTTTAATTTTTTTTTTGTCATTGTTTCTCATTGGTCCAATTAATCTTTTGCGCATTTTTTTTTGCTTTTTGAAATGTTCTCAAAACGACTAAAAAATCTGGCCAGCATTTTGCATCTAAATATTATTTCCGTGGTCAGCAATCAAGAGCAATCGCTCCCGCTTCCCGACCAAGCCTGTCATCATCATAATCATCACCACCATCATCATCATTATTCTCATCACCATCATCATTTATGCTTTATATACAAATAATATTATAAGAGGAAATATATAAACCAGAGGAATATATAAACCAGTGATCCTTAAACTTTATTTGTTGCTGCACACTTTTGATGATTTCAAAATTTTTAATGGAAATTAAAAATCTATTCTTGTCAAAAGTATTTTTCTTTTTAAACCATATTATTTAAAAATATTAACAAAATTATAAATATAAAATTTGGAGGCACACTTTTAGGATTTTGTGTAAAGTGCCACGGCACAGTAGTTGAGAATCACTGATACAAGCAAGTCATATGTGTGACAAAAAATTTTTGAATGGAATGTATAAACAAATGTGTGGAACGTATAAACAAATGTGTGGAACATATAAACAAATGTATGGAATGTTTAAATAAATGTTTGGAACGTATAAACAAATGTGTGGAACAATATAAACAAATGTGTGGAATGGTATAACCAAATGTGTGGAATATATAAACAAATGTGTGGAACGTATAAACAAATGTGTAGAACATATAAACAAGTCATACCTTAATGTAAACCCAAGCAAAAGCATTGTACTTAGAATCACTTGCAGTAATTTGCAAAGCAAACTCTTCTATGTCTTCTCTATCAAGGGCTTTAGCTACTGTAACAAATCCAATGCTAGAACCATCCACACGATGGACAGATTCAGTTCCAAAGTAACCTCTTTCATTACCAGAAATAATGTAATAATTAAGTTTTGAGTGTTCTCCTGCATCTTTGTCTTTAGCAAGAAGTTCAAGAATTTTTGAGCCAATTTTTTTGTTTTCATCTAATGTTTCATTATAAATTTTTTTTTCAAAGTAAGGTTCATTATCATTAACATCAGTAATTTGTATGGTAACATACACTACACTACTTAGTCGTTTACCAATAGCTTGATCTTCTGCTTTGACATTAAATGTTAACTTTGGAGTTATTTCCCGATCAAACACAACTTTAGTACGAATCTGGCCAGTTACTGGGTCAATGCTAAACATATCTGCTTCTGCACTTGGTTCTAAAGAGTACAACACTTTTCCATTTATATCTGAGTCAGCATCAGTTGCATTTACTTGCTCTACAATGACTCCAGCACTTTTACCTTCTGCTACTTTTCCAAACTCGTAAGTACTTAAGACAAATAAAGGTGTGTTATCATTTACATCTATAATTTGTATAAACACTTTTGCATTTGTTTTCATACCTCTTTTGTCAGCAGCACTCACTGTCAGCACGTAGCTGTTCAAAGCTTCATAATCTAGAATTTTAGCTATTTTGATTTCACCTGATGCTGAATCAACAATAAATGTAGGAGGTTTATTTGTTGATGGCAAGTTACCTGGAAGAATACTGTAAAAAATTTTGTTTTCTAGGTCACCTTCAATTTGAGATTTAGCCTCTAGTTTTAAAACATTTTCACCGGGTTTTCTATCTTCTTGGATAGACGCCTTAAAAGATAACATAGTGAATTTAGGAGGATTTGATGGCTGAACATAAATTACAACTTCAACATTTGAGCTAGCAGATGGAGTACCACTGTCAGTAGCTAAAACCTGAAAACTGTATCTCTCTTGCTTACCAATTAAAGATTCAGCTACGAGAATTACGCCTGAGCTTGAATCAATTTTAAAATTAGATGTAATGACATTTGGCTTAATTGAGTATGTTATAAGAGCATTTTTCCCTTCATCTTGGTCCTGGGCACTAACTTCTAAAACCACACTATCTATAGGTGTGTTTTCAGCGATAGATATATCATACTTTTGAACTGAGAAAATAGGACTGTGATCATTGATATCTTCAATTTGTATCTCAAGTTGACAACTACCTGAATTGCGTTCAGCTGGATCTCTTCCATGCCCTCCATCAAGAGCTATTACAAGCACAATATAGCTACTTTTTATTTCTCTATCGAAAACTTTGTTTGTTGTTATAACACCAGTTGTGTTATCAATTTTAAAATCTGCAGAAAATTTATTTGGATTATCTTTTTGAGTTTCTTGAATATCATATTCCACTTCTCCATTACGACCTCGATCTAAATCAGATGCAGAAACTTGAATAACTTTTGTATTTATTGGCATTTGCTCGGGCACAGTTGCCTTATACTGTGAACATTTCCGAAAAATAGGGCTATTATCATTAACATCTTCAATAATAACTTTAAGTGCAAAATATCCAATATTAATGCCATCGGTAGCAGTAATATTCAAAATGTAATCATCTCTTAAAAATGATGGATTGTTCACTGTAGTTATCCTAACAACACCAGTATCTTTTCCAATTTCAAAATTATTGTTATCTTGAGAAGATAAATCATACTTAACAACATCTCCATCCAAATCTTGAGCCTGGACTGTAATAACAATAGTTCCTCTCTGAATGTTTTCAGCAATAGAGACTACTCCATTATCAGGTGTAAATTTTGGTGAATTGTCGTTTACATTAGCAACATTAATTACAACATCAGCCAATCCAGTATTTGTATTAACTCCTGTATCTTTCACCTTGACTTGAAACCGGTATTCGCTGATTGCTTCATAATCAAGACTTCGTATAATTTTTATCTCACCAGTTACATGGTCAATACGAAATGTGTCACTAAACTTATCCATGCTGTAAACAAGTAGTCCACCTGCACACTCACATGTCTGACTGCAGTCACAGTCTGTTGCTTTAACTTTCATAACGGTATGCCCAACAGGAATATTCTCCATTATACTTTTACTTCTATACTCAGCCATACTAAACTCTGGAGAATTATCATTAACATTTATAACTTGGATAATCACATTTGTAATCGACTTTAAAGGTTTTGAACTTATTTCACTTGCTTGTACAGTGAGGGAGTATGAAGAATCTCCAGATTCAAAATCAAGAGCTCCTTGAAGCGTAATTGCACCTTGAGCATTTATAACAAACAAATTATCAACATTTCCTTCAATACTATATTGTATAGTTATACCAGACAAGCTCCGTGCATACACAACACCAATAGTATAACCAGCATGAGAGTTCTCTTTCACACTGAACTGGTAAAGATCTTTTTGGAATTCAGGAGGATTTTCTCCTGTCTTAATAAAAATGGTTACGGGACTGCTGCTCAAAGAGGGTTGGCCCTTATCAGAAGCAATTACACTAATATTGTACCAGTTTTCAGTAAGATAAAAAGATGTTGTTTTAATTTCAGATGTGACTGGATCAATTGAAAATGGAATGTTTTCACTAATAATTTCAAATCCAAATATACCAGCATCACCGCTATCTTCATCTTTTGCAATCAGCTTAATAACAGGTGTACCTGGTTGAGCATTTTTGTTAACTTTACCAAGAAATGAAGTCATGTAAAACTTAGGTGCATTATCATTGTAGTCGAGCACTTGAATGCGAACATTGTAATTTACATATTCATGCTCTGACTGGGTGTTTCTTTCTTGAACAATGATTGTATATTGTGTTGTTTTTTCGTAGTCCAATTGTACTTTTAAAGAAATGTAACCAGTGCTTTCATCAATGATAAATGGATTATATAGTGGTGAAACAATTTTAAAAGATGCTCTTGGGTATTGATTTCCTAAATCTTTAATTATTTCTCCATGACTTGGCAAATGCATTTCTCCAACGCTGCGAACAATTATACCCCCAGGACGATAGTTGACAAGAACAACGCGTATCTGAGCAGAACTTTCTAATCCTTGTGAATCTTTTGCTGATATTTCAAATTCATTTATATTTGTATCCAAAGAAAGCATTTTCAGTGATGTTAAAGATCGAATCACTCCATTATTGTCTATATGAAAAATACCACGAGCTGGACCTGAATTAATTTTGTAGGACAGACTATCACCAACATCATTATCAACTCCCTGTACATCAACAATAGGTATTCCAACAGCAAGAGATCTTAATACTATCACTTCAATAACATTGTTTATAGCGGCTCTGAAAAATGGACTGTTATCATTCACATTTATAACATTAATTTCAACACTTGCCTCGGCAAAGCGTTCACTTAAATCTGCTGCACGAATGTAAATTATATATTGTACTTGTTTCTCAGCATCTAAACTTGAAGTAGATCTAAGGTTTCCATTTCTTGTGTCAATTTCAAATAACTTAAGGTCATTTCCTCGTTCGATGCTATAAGTAATTGTGTCCAAGCTAATGGCTTTACAATTTCCTAGCACATCTTTTGGGTTATTATTTTCACTGACATTAAAAGTGAATTTATTCAATACAAATTTTGGTGGCCCTTCTTCAGTTACAGCAGTTAGATAAACCATAGCTTGTCCTTCCATGTTCATATTTGTAGCCTTTAGTTTTAATGAAAATGTTTGTTCATTTAATAAAGCAATAGGTTTTTTTAAATATATAATACCATCAGACTTTCCTATGACAAATGTTCCAGCATAATCTGAACCAATAATAGCATATTCAACTTTTCCAAAAGCACCACTATCAAAGTCTGCTGCAAAGACCTAAAAAAGAAAAAAACAAATATAAGTAATAATAACACTAATTACACTAGGTCCTTCTCGTTTTTGAGGTAGAACTAGTATAGGAAAGGAGTAGATCAACAGTTTGCAGACTTTGTAACCTAAAATAGATTTGTTAAGAACATATGCGGAAATTCCAACAACTTTTGTATCAAACTCTCTGTAAAAATATTTATTTGATAAATTTGTGAAACTGAATCTTTGTTGGTCGCAAAAAATATTTATCTGATAAATTTGTGAAACTGAATCTTTGTTGATCACAAAAAAATCATTGATAAAATAAACTTCCAAAGTTATTTGCAAAGTTCTCACAATATATAAAATTTTTAGTTTATATTTTTAGTAATCTCTCAGACTTCTAATAAAAGAAAAAACTTGTAACTGCAAAACTGTAAAATTTAAGGAGAAATTAAAAATTTGCATACTTTTTATTTATTCAGATTTTATGGACAAAAAAAGGGTTGTATTGTAAAAAAAAAAAATGCAGTAAAAAAAAAAAAAATTGTATGAAACAAAAAAACAAAAAAACAAAAAAAAAAAAAAAAAAAAAAAAGGATTGTATAGCGTGCAACAAAATTAAACAACTTTAATATTTAAAAACAAGTACCAAAATAAACATTCTATAACATTTCTAAATTTTTTGAGTTAATTTTGTAAAGCTTTTGTAAGTAATTTTGTAAGTAATTTTATAGTAATTTTGTAAGTAATTAATTATTTTTGTAATTTAATAAACTGCAGTATTTAAAAAAATCGTAAAAAGGCTTTAAGTAACTATACAGTTTATAAACTATTATTAAAGGAAACAATAATTATATAAAAACATATAATTTTAAATATCTAATTTAAAAAATAATTAAAAGAAAAAAAAAAATCATTAAAAAATTCAAGTTAAAAAACAAAAAGAACCTTTATAACTTCTGTTCCAGTTTGGCTATTAATTGAAATAAACCCATTGTAATTAGATTCAGAAAATGTTGGTCGTTCATCATTTTCATCCTTTACAACAACTTTCACTTCTTGTAGTGCTAAAAGCGGAAATATTAATTATTTGAAGCTTTATTCTTAAACTGAACACAGTTTATTGTTGCATCATAACTTACACAGTATGGTAAAATAAAATAGTAAAAAAAAATTATATTATTAAGATAATTTATGTAAAAATAATTTTTTAAAAAAAAGATTTAGTATTACTGAACTTTTTAACTTTATAACTGACACAATATGGTGAGATAAAAAAAAAAAATTATCTTACTGAATCTTTTTATTGTGTCTCCATTATCTTCTGCTTTTATAATTATAGTATGCTCACTGGTTTCTTCAAAATTGAGAAGTTTGGCAATAGAAAGATCACCTGTGACAGGATCAATTTTAAATAAATTTTCACTTCTTCCTGAACTTATGACTTGACTGATTGAATATGTTATTCGCCCATTATCACCAGCATCCTGATCTTTAGCCTCTGCTCTGAAGATTACATAACCAACTAAAAATAAAAAAACATTAAAAATATAAATTTACATAAGAAAAGATCGATTAGAACAAATTTATTCACACAGATATACACTTGTGCAAAAGTAATTGGACAAAAAAAAGATTTTATAATTAAAAACAAATGAATTTTTGTCTAATCTAAGCAATCTAATCTTTAAAATTAATTTTATTAAAACATATCCAATCAGAGAAGCCCTTTAAAATGTTGTTTTTTATAAAAAAAATAAACTGTAAAATGATATTGATACATGATAACAATTAAATACAACAATAATAATAATAATAATAATAATAATAACAATTATGATAATTATAACAGTAGTAGTAGTAGTAGTAGTAGTAGTAGTAGTAGTAGTAGTAGTAGTAGTAGTAGTAGTAGTAGTAGTAGTAGTAGTAGTAGCAGTAGTAGTAGTAGCAGTAGTAGTAGCAGTAGGAATAGGAGGAGGAGTAGTAGTAGTAGTAGTAGTAGTAGTAGTAGTAGTAGTAGTAGTAGTAGTAGTAGTAGTAGTAGTAGTAGTAGTAGTAGTAGTAGTAGTAGTAGTAGTAGTAGTAGTAGTAGTAGTAGTAGTAGTAGTAGTAATAATCAAACCATTTTGAGTCTCTGAAACCTCTCTAACAATTGGTCCAACTCCATTTGTAAAAAATGGTATATTATCATTTTCATCACTCCATGTTAACAAAACAGTAGTCTTAGATGTTTGATATCCATTTATCATTTCAATTGTCACAGGAAATTTATTATTACGGGCAAGGTCATAATCCATTGCTTTCTGTGTAAAAAGCGTCTTTGAGAAATCAATACAGAAATTATTACTTAAATTACTGCTAATAATTCTAAAAGAAGTTGTTGAACTTGAGTCAACCTCATTTGTAGAAATTGTCACAATAGATTCTCCAACAGGGACGTTGTCTACTAAGGAACCCCTGTAAAAAGATTGTGTAAATATAGGAGGTCTGATACCATCTTTAACTTGTGCAATAATAGATATCTTTGTACTCCTTCTCACTGACTGACTTTTGTCACTTGCTGTAACAGTAAAAATGAATTTTGAGGCAATTGCATCGCTAAAATATAAAAATTAAAAAAATCTTTAAAATGAAAGTTTCTTTTAGCCAACTTTACTCAGGAAATAGTTTTAGATTGAAATTTCTAAATCTTTTAACAAGACAAAAAGTAGTTCAAACTATAACAATAAACATAAACATAAATGTATATAAATATTAAAAATCATTATAAAAATTAAACATTATTATAAATATTAAACATTATTACAAATATTAAACATTATTATAAATAATTAAACATTATTATAAATATTAAAAATCATTATAAATATTAAACATTATTAAAAATAATTAAACATTACTAAAAATATTAAAAATCATTATAAATATTAAACATTATTATAAATATTTAAAATCATTTTAAATATTAAAAATCATTTTAAATATTAAAAATCTTTATAAATAATAAGCATCATTATAAATATTAAACATCATTATAAATATTAAAATTATAAAATATTGACATAAATAGAAAAGTAATAAAAACTGAAACATTTTTTTTTTAATTAAAAAGAAAAAATTATAAAGTTTTCAACTTTTAAGACATTTTATTTATAAAAATATGATTTTAAAAAAAGATACTTTATTTCTCTAGAACATGTTATTACTCCTTCAGCATCAATGACAAAAGGTACGACACCTTCCAAAGTATATTCTATTTGACCATTTAAACCTGAATCATCATCCACAGCTTTTAACTAAACAAATTTTTTTAAAATAACTACAATAACTTTCATCTTTTTTTAAAAATTATTTCCCCACAGATAAAAAAAATTAAAAAATGAAAGTTACTTTAGCAACAATTGATCCCTCTGGTGAATATTTATCTACATATATTTCCATAGCAACAGATGGATCTTCCACCACAAAAACTGGAGAATTGTCATTTGAATCTTCTATTTGAAAAATAATGATCTTATCTGTAAACCTCTGCGGATCAGATAAAGTTGCTCGAATTACTATTCTGTAAGTGGTGTCCATCTCATAATCCAGTTTTTTCTTGAGTATTATTTTATCGCTTGTAATTCCAAAAGTACCATCCTTATTTCCACCAACTATTTCAAAGGAAGATCCAACTTCATTAACAGATATCTGTGTAACAGCAGCACCAACTGACAAACTTTCTGACAAAAAAAGTGGTCCAGAAGGAGAATTAAATACAGGAAGAGCCACAGTCTTATCAAGAACAATGATTTTTACAACTGTACTTGACATAAGTGAAGGAACTCCTAAAACAAAAAAAGATTATACAAAATACAAAAAAAACATAGTAAACAAAAATGTATTAGTAAAAGTAAATTTAATTACACAACAAAAGTCTGTCATGTAGAATTGTTTAAAAATTAGTGGCCCTAGGTACAAAAAACTTTTTTTAATTGTACCTTGGACAACTAGCTCTTGTACCGAAGGCTCTCTGAAAATTAGTTTTAACTCCATAATAACTTGATGACAAAGATAGACACAAAAATTTGATAAAGAATTTATTTAATTTTATTGTTTTCAAAAAAATTATCTAGTGTTAGTTAATTGCAACACTTAAGTAACAAAATTAATTTCTCAGATTTGTCAATTTTGCTTAGAACAACTGCAAGAAGAAAAAAAATTATGTACCAATCAAAATTTAACAATCTACCTCATTATCAAGCATATTTTTTTACGCACATAATGGCCTAGGTACAAGCAAACTATATGTCCCTAGATACAAGAAATGTTAGCCTCTTGAAAAATGTCATATCGGGTGGACACAGAAAAATCTGGTCAACATTACATTGAGATTTCTCTAAAACCATAAATGCTTTTTATTTCAATTTTTTATTTTAAATATGTTTACATCAGAGTTTCAAAGTAATTTTAAGGGGCTTGATGGGCTGTTTGGCAAAAGATCAAATTTTTTAGCGGGTTGATGCCATCATTTTGCAGATTTTTTATTCTTCACCTTATCGGTGGCATTAACCCACTTTTTTTAAGTTCCTTTTTTTTTTGTTACTCCAACTATCTTAGGAAGAACTATTTCCCAAAAATTATCAATCTTGCGCTTTTCAGGATAATTAGGAGGATTAGCATCTTTAGGAACAGTTTTCACATTATTTTCTTTACACCACTGTAAAGCTTTTTTAGATTAGTGAGAAGTAGCGAGGCCAAAAGAGACTTTATTATTTGGTATTTGTGTTTTTTCATAAATGAAAAAAGTCTTTTATAGAAACATTCTATACTGTAGAGATTGGCTGTCAAGGTCTTCTTAGTGACAAAACAAGAAGACTGCATGCCACAGCTACAAATTGCTTGCCACACAAAGAACCTGGATGCAAATTTTTCTCATCAAGTATATCTAATTTGATCATCGACAAGTTTATCTTTGTCCTCATAGTAAAACTGTTGACTAGGAAGTTATGAAAAATCTGCCTTGCAATATGTTTGTCACCTAAAATTATGCACATACTTTTATTCGCCATTATTTTAACCAATGCCTTTGCACATCAAAGTCTTTTGATTTCACCATATAAGTATCTCTTAGGTGTATTTTTCTTATAAAATGCTTTTTCAAGCATCTTTTAAATACTTTTTGATATAAGAACATGAAGGCTTGAATTTTCTTGCTAGATCTCACTGTAACTAGTTCAGTTTTCTTGCTGTTAAACTGAGAATTGACTTTTCCTTCCAGGAAAAGTCAATTCTTTTTCACTTCCAAGTTTTCTTTCAAAGCTTTGAGTAGCCTAAACTTATTTATAATATTTATGACTGTAGAATTTGGGACATTTGTAGGTTTAAAAAACAAGTGATATGAAGTCGAAGAATTTTTGCAAAAAAAATTCACAACTTTTTTACGAACCTCAAAGTGTTTCTGAAACAATTTGCAAACCGTTAATATGTAACCAAAAGTTTATCAACACAATTAAAAATAAGAAAGTAACATTTAAATAATAAAATAAACAAAATATTAAAAAAAAATTTTATAACTAATTACCTCACTGAGAAACATTATAAGAACTTGAAAGTTTCCAATATGTAGTGTAGTATTCAAAGTATAGTATAGTAATATAGTGGGGTGGCCTTAGGCACAAGGAGGCTCACAACCTTACTTACAACTTGTAAGCGACATCAATATTTAAGCTATATTTTAATGTCAGTTAAAAGTTAAAACAATTAAAATAAAAGTTAAAACAATTAAAATAAGTTTTATAATTTTTTAAAAACCAGCAATAATAATTTATTTTTAATTAATAGTGTTTTTGTTTTTGTTTTATTGTTTTATAATATTTTTAAAACATGCAAGGAGTTACATTGACTGACAAATAGGTAAAACATGCAAGTTTTTTTTTTACTAAAAACATGCAAGGAGTGTTTCTTTTTTATTGTAAAACATGCAAGGAATGTTTCTTTTTTACTGTAAAATATGTGGGGAGTATTGCTTCATTGAATATATTATATAACCTGCTGCTAAAAGGAAGTGCTGCTACATCGATAACCTTATAGCATGTATCTACAAGGAAGTGTCGCCACATCTAGAGATAATAGCTTGTTTGAGCAGAGAGCATGATAACATTAGTAGAAAAAAGACCTTGCATCAGTGGGATTAGCACAAGTTTGGCAGAAGGAGGAGGTCCAACTAAATTTACAACACATTTTTGGACCGCGTCCAGAAGAAATTACATTATATTAGAAGAAGCAGCCCAAATATGACAACAGTATAAAATACAAGGATGATAAATAGGAGACTAGTAGAGATAGAGAATGGAATCAGGAGTAAAGAAATGACGAGCAAATAAGAGAGAGCCTTAGCAGATACTAATTTTGCAATGAACTGTATATGAGGGATATAATGTAAGAGTGCATTTACAAAGAGCCATTTATAAACATAGGAATAAACAATAATGTAACAGTTATTTGTAAATAAAGCTTTTTGAAAGAAAGCAAAAGATAATTAAATAATTTTCATATTAAACAAACAAAATAATCTTGTGATATTTGGTTCATAATATTATTGTCTTAAGTAACATTAAACAATAAAACAGATACGAAATGTTTGCATTCAAAAAAGAATCATCAAATCTTTAAAATGCACATGGTATTATAGAATCCAATATCTAGAAAATAATAGAACAGGTAAATTAAAAATGTAATAAGGTTTTATGTTTTTCTTTGCATAGATGTACTATTTGAAGTTTAGACTTTTGTTATAGTTTTTTTTTAAAAAATCATATAATACTTAAATTAACTCATTCATTAACTTGTTCACATAACCTTCCAAGCCTAACAACCCTCAGGTAATCTATCAAACTCATATCCTGTTGTACTTTTATACAGTGCCAGATCTAAAATACTAAACAATCTAGAGTTAGAGTTTGCTAAGTTTACTTTTGTTAACAATTATCATTGAAAAAAAAATTTAATATTATTGCAATAGTTTGGTTACTTAAAAATATATTTACACAATACGTGTTACTGAAAGAATTAAGAAAGAAATTTACTTTTTCATTTTATACAAATTTTTTCTGTAAGATTTCATTTCTAACTATTACAAAATATTTGTTGGACATCCTAAAAACATCATATGGACTTATGATGTCTATAAGGTTGTATAGACATCTTACCAACGTCTGTGCCCGCTTGGTTGAAGCAAAATGATTTATTAATAATAAGTCGATGCTCTCAGCAATTTCAGATTTGATTAAAATTAATTTTAATCCAAAACGATACTGCTTTGCCATTGTTAATCACTGATAATTTTTAATAATTTTTAATCTATTGAAACTTCTCTTGCCATAAGCAGATTGAAAAGGAAGAGTCAAGTCAATTTTGTAGAGTAAAGACAAGTTAGGAAAACATGATTCATCTATTTCTCTATTAAGAATGAATGTATGTCTTTCATTTGTAGTTCAGCCATTCTTGCTGGAGATATTGATGCATAAAAATTTTTGAAAGTACGGCTGGCGCAAGTAGCTTTCAAGTGGGGAGAGGGTGCCATACAGGTTTTTGCCAAAAATATTTTTAACACATAAAAACAAATCTAAATTGCTCCACAATGTTCAAATCAGTTAATTTATAATTTTTTACTTTTCTCATTGTAGTTTTATGATCATCTGTCAATGTACATTCACAGTTTGATACAAAGTTCGGTGGTTTTGATACACCGAACTTTGTTAAAAATGACTGTGTACATTATGATTATAAGAGATAATTTCATAAAACAAAACATATCTGTTTTGTTTTCTGTCATTAATGTGGTCAAATTTGTAAACAATGTGTGTAAACAATGGTTTGTTGTTACCTAGTTTTACATATAGTTAAATGTTAAATAACTATACTCTGGTTTTTGTTAAAAAATATTATTTATAGTGAATTGAAAAATAAATCTAGTGTTCACCTTGATCTCTTGCATTTACAGTAATTAAATACAGTCTATTTTTCTCCACAGATGATTTCACCATAATATCACCAGATGGGTTTATATTAAACCTATAATAAAAAAAAGTAAATGGAATAATTTTGAATATTAGATTTAATTTGATAGAAAAAATATATATCAGGGGCTATTCTAGACTGTTTTTGACAGTGTGGACCGTATTTGGACGCCACCTAAATTGAGGACCTTTTTTTTTTTTTAAATATTTTTAAAAACAAATATTGTTTTTTTTTCGCGAAAAAACGCTGATTTTCCGTTAAATTTCTCCATAACTGGAGAGGAACTGCGGCCAAAATTTTTTTTCTAGACTTTATATATATATATATATATATATATATATATATATATATATATATATATATATATATATATATATATATATATATATATATATATATATATATATATATAGAGAGAGAGAGAGAGAGAGAGAGAGAGAGAGAGATTTAATTTAATAGAAAAAAATATATATATATAAATTTTTTGATATTAAATTTACAAAAGTATAAAATAAAATAAAAAAATAAAGAATAGTTAAAATCACGTAAGAGTATAAAATACAGAAGTTTAAAGTATATACAGATTTGAATCGGGTCCTTCCTGAATATCAAAAGTAATACGCCCATTTACACCTCCATCTTCATCAGTTGCATTAACCTGCACAACAGATTTTCCTAATGGTATACTACCAATAACAGAGATAGCATACGACTCTTGTGAAAATATTGGTTTGTTGTTGTTCTTATCTTCGATTGTTACTAAAATATTTGAAAGTTTAAAGTTTAAATTAGTATTTAAATAAATTTTTCCAAAAACAAGTATTACAAGATAAAACAAACAAAATAGATGTTTAATTTGGATGTTTAAAAGTGGTTTGGAATGTTCAACCCTTATATACATTTGCAATATACGTTTATAAAAAATGCAATCAATATACCTTTACATAAAAAAATTGTTACCATTATGTTAGAATAAATTATGTTAGAATAAATGAGAACCTTTAGTTTTAAGGACAAATTTGATTAGATATCATTTACACTTTTCAACTTTTTTTTTTAAGCTGTAAATCTAAAAATTAGCTCTTTAAAGTCTAAAATATCTCCCTAAGAATGGTTTAACATATAATATCAAAATTACAGTAAATTTCTAAATTAATTAAATTTTAAATATAGAAGCAAAAAAAAAAATACTAATCCTAATTTTAACTCTATGCTGGTACCCGAGCCCTATGCCGGTATATGAATCACCTGGTACCCTGGTACTAATGTGTCACATTTTAAAGTTTTACAAAAGAATGCTTTATAAAAAGTTAACCAAAAGTGCAACTGAAGTATTATGACAACTAACAATTATGGCAGTTGACATATTTCTTTTTGCTTCTTACCTTATTTCAGATATTTCTTTTTATTTTATGTTAAAAAAAAATCATAATTTTCATGCAATAAAACCTAAAAACTTTATTTTAAATATTTATTTATAAAATCTAATATTAAAATTTAATAAATTTTAAATTTACTTTTCTGTTTTTGCTTTTTACATTTGTATTGATAAAATGTTCATGTTTCTATTGATATCATGTTTGTATAGATAAAACAGTCATAAAAAATTTTTGTGTGCTAATGTTCAAACTCAATTTTAAGAAACATTATGCAACTTTTTTTTTTTACCAAAAACATAAAAATTTAATCAAGTTTAAAGTTTTTTGACATCTTATTAATTTTTATGTTTATCTAAAGATATCTTTATCTAAACCCTATGCTGAAATCTGACATCTAATAACCTAATTTTTTACTTTAGCTTTTATAATCACTGAATATTTGATCAATTAAAAAAATAATTTCAAAATTATTTGAATAAAAACAATATTTTAATTTATAAAATTCATCAAATAAACCCTTAAATCTTAATGATTGTGACTTAATGATTTTACCCAATAAAAAGCTAGTTCAAATATACAACAAATCTTTTTCTCATCAGAATGGAAGTAGAGAACTTGAAAAACACTAAAAAAAAGGGATACATTGCAATAAAGAAACCTATCTTGTCGATAAAGAATCAATGCAAAAAAAGAAGTGGTGCAAAGAATGTTTGGATATGCATTATGTTTTTTGGCATTAGAGGTTTGGGTAAAAGTGAATTGAAGCAATGACTTGAATTTTGAGGTTGTAAACTGCAATATAAGAATCTATATTACAAGATTTGCTACTTGAAAGGAAGACAAGAAGATTATGACATTTTTCTCATAAGTATATGTAAGCCTTATTATTGCCTTAATGTCTAAATAAAAAAACAGAACAAAATCAAACTTCATATTTGATTCCATTAATATAAAAACGGTATGGCAGAAGCAAACAAACCATTATCCAGTAAAGGTAGGACACCATTGCCCAGCAAAACATGTGTTATGTGTACTGACACTAGCAGGGACAAATCTAGATATGCTTTTACAACATTTGAATGGAATGGGAACACAAAAAAATCCCCTGAAAATAGTTCTGAAAGAATTTTTTTTTTATATTTCAATATCATTTTTTACTTTATTCTTAAAAATTGGAAAAAGGTAGTGATTCCCTTAAGGTAAGGTTCCCTTACCACTCTGTTATTTTCTTAACCCTTTTTCAAACCAATAGAAAACATTTAGTCTTGGATTAAATAATTTGAGATCAATGGAGAGATGAATTTCACATAGCCATCAGACAAAAACTTTAAATAAATTAAAAACTTAGAATAAATATAACTTTAGATTATTTTTCTTTTACTTCTTTTAAAACCTAAACTTTATTAAACTTTTAGAAATAAATTTTTCGTTTTAATAAATAATTTTATAATGACAATGAACTTTTTTTGTAATAAATTTTTTTTTTAACAAGTTTGTCTTATTAAAATTAATTTCATAGCATAAATTTAGCAATTTTATCATTAAAATCAGTTTCATAATTTTTTTTTTTTTAATTACAAAAAAAAAATTTAAATCTAATTGAAAAAATCAAAAACATTAATTTCCCAAAAAAACATATAAGTTTCCCAAAAAAACATACAAGTTTCCCAAAAAACATACAAGTTTCCCAAAAAAACATAAGTTTCCCAAAAAAACATATAAGTTTCCCAAAAAAACATATAAATTTCCCAAAAAAACATATAAGTTTCCCAAAAAAACATATAAGTTTCCCAAAAAAACATATAAGTTTCCCAAAAAAACATATAAGTTTCCCAAAAAAACATATAAGTTTCCCAAAAAAACATATAAGTTTCCCAAAAAAACATATAAATTTCCCAAAAAAACATAAGTTTCCAAAAAAAAAAAAAAAAAGTTTCCCAAAAATTTTAATAGCAATAATTTAAAAGTCACTTATAGCTGTCTTCCTAACATCGCTAATATTATTATTATTTTTGTTGTTGTTGTTGTTATGGTTTTTTGTAACGTCTGATGCAGGTCTTGTTTTAAATAAAAAAACGGTTTTGCACATTAGCTTGCCATGATTTTGACGTCATAAAATTATCTTAATTATTTTTTTTTATTTTGACTATCTTTTTTAACCACCGCAATAAAATAAATTGACATAACTAAAATTATTTATCTGTTAGAGAATTTTTTGCACAATTAAAAAAAAAAATTACATTTACTACAGTTAATGTAACTTCCTGTTAACAGATTTTTGAAAAACATTAATTATATTAATTTACAAGCTGTGAAAATTTTGTTATATAAATTATATTTTTTGAAATTTAGAATTTCTTCCTGATGAACGAAAAACAAGCTGTAGAAGCTCAAGTTAGATATGTGTTTTTTTAACTATATATAAGTTAGATATGTGTTTTTTTAACTATATATAAGTTAGATATGTGTTTTTTTAACTATATAAGTTAGATATGTGTTTTTTTAACTAATTTTATATATATATATATATATATATATATATATATATATATATATATATATATATATATATATTTAAATTGTTTAAATATATATATATATATATATATATATATATATATATATATATATATATATATATATATATATATATATATATATATATATATATATATATATATATATATATATATATATATATATATATATATATATATATATATATATATATATATATATATATATATATACAGTGGTGGCTCAAAAAATTAGAGCCACCTCGAAATTTACACAATATTTAGACAATATTTAATTACTTTGTTTTGAACATATTTTTACAATGACAACATTATTGAGCGGTTTAGAGTGAAGTTAGTTGCATTATTGCAGAAGATGTCACATTTTAGCCCGTGTTGTACTGGGCGATAGTTGTGTTTCTGGCGGTTTTTATTTGTTGATTTTATATTTTTACACCAAAATTTGTTTATTTTACTATTCAACACTTATTATATATTCTATTTACAAGTAAGTTATCATTATTTTACAACTTTTTTATCATATTTAGGTAAATTTTGTAATTTTTTAAAATAATTGGTGTTTTTAAGGTATGGGCAAAGAGAAAGATATTTCTCCCACAAAACTAGGGCTTATTCAAGGATATTTGTCGAGTGGAAATCATTCCAACAGGCAAATTGCCAAGTGTGTGAATGTTTCCAGAGCAACAGTCAATAGGATTAAAAGAAAATTGGACAATAATCAATCACTAAAATTGAATAAAAGAAAAAATTGTGGACGAAATCGAATTACAACGTCTCGCACCGAAAGAAAAATAAGGGATATTGTGATAGAAAATAGGAGAAAATCAAAAAAAGTGCTTAAGGAAATCATAAACAATGAAGGTATAACAATATCACTTGCAACACTTCGGAGAAGAATGGCGGAGCAGGGGTTTAAGGCCTGTAGACCAGCCAAAAAACCAAGGCTCACCCAGGCAATGAAGGATAAACGTCTCCAAAATCCATGTTTTACCCTGGCCAGGAAACTCGCCCGACCTAAATCCCATAGAAAATTTATGGGAATTGTTAAAGAGGGATATAAGTAAAAATCTTATAACAAATAAAAGAGATTTGATTGAAAAATTAATAAATGTTTGGCACCACAGCGAGGAAATAAAAAAAAATTGTCAAAATCTCATCAAAAGTATGACCAGAAGAGTTGAAGCCGTAATTGCTGCAAAAGGTGGCCACACTAAGTATTAGTGATTTTGTGTACAATATTTTGTATATCTTATTTATTTTTCCTAAATATACGTTACACTTCTATATTTTTGTCATTTACTATTATTTATATCCTATATTCCCAAAATAAATAGTTGTAAATTTAAACTCATTACAAAATATAGGGAAAATCAGCTTCAGAATATGAAAATTTGTAAAAATGTTGGGTGGCTCTAATTTTTTGAGCCACCACTGTATATATATATATATATATATTTAAATTGTTTAAATATATATATATATATATATATATATATATATATATATATATATATATATATATATATATATATATATATATATATATATATATATATATATATATATATATATTCACAAATGATCTGTTAAGCACAATTGAAATAAATATTTGAATAAAATTAACAACACTTTTACAATATTACTATACATGTTTCGAACTACATAGCTCATCATCAGTAAAATTTACAAAAATCATTAAAAAACCGTTTTTTAAGCGATACAAATTGATTACTTTATAACAAAAATCTATTTTAAAATCTATTACAAAGGAATAAAAAGACCATTATAATACAATGACAAAATGAATCAGTCTCAAAACTCATTTAAAAAAAAAAACGCAATAGATGCAAGAAGTTAAAAAAATTCAAATTTTTTGAAATTTAGAATTTCTTTCTGATGATCCTGATGAAGGAGCAATCAGAAGAGGAGTTCCTTTGACACTCAATGTTTTTCATTAAATAATGAAAAAAGTAAGACTTTTTATCTTCCTTGCATTTGATGAACATTCTTTCCTCACATTGATGAACATTTTAATGAAAAACATTGTGTGTCAAAGGAAATTATCAAAGGAAAGTCTCTTCTAATTGCTTTTCTATTTTGGATTCTGCTCAAAGTGAATGAGAAATAAAGAAAAGCTTGCATATAAAGTGGCAAAAGGCCCTGTTTAAATAAACAAGTCAAACATAGAATTCTTGAACCATTTTGACTATTATGATGTTGATTTTATAAAAAAAAAAAAATTTTAACTACTTGTACCTACTGTATTGTTTTTTTTTTATGAGTTTTGAGACTGATGCAGTTTTTTTTTGTATTTTAATGGTCTTTTTAATCCTTTGTAATGAATTTTAAATAGATTTTTATAATAAAGTAATTAATTTGTATCCCTTACAAAAACAGTTTTTTAATGATTTTTGTAAATTTTACTGATGATGAACTATGTAGTTCGAAACATGTATAATAAACATTTTAAAAGTGTTGTTAATTTTATTCAAATATGTGTGTATATATATATATATATATATATATATATATATATATATATATATATATATATATATATATATATATATATATATATATATATATATATATATATATATATATATATATATATATATATATATATATACACACATATATATATATATATATTAACTATTATTAAATTATAACAGATTAAAGTCTTTAAAAGTGACATAATTTGTGGTCAAAAGATTCATTTTTTATCTTCCATACTCTCAAAGCTAACAATTGATATACATCCAGTTTATAACTAATAAAAAATAAAATTTACCTTGAAGAATAGCACTAGAAAATTCATTTCTATTGTCAACATTAACTGCATGCAAGTTAAACTCAAAAACATTCTTATCTTTTCTCCAAACAAGTTTTTCTTTATTCCTTACACTAACCAAACAAGCCCTAGGTTCTGTTTTTAAAATAAACAAAGACAAAATCTCTGGAGTAAGATTTTCAACACCCCATATACAAGTGTGTTTTCCACTTAGTTCAGATGTTACACCTAATCTTTTAACAATAGTATTCTCATTGGCCAACTCCTCAACTTTAGCAGTATAAAAATCACTATCAAATATTGGAGGATCATTGCTATCCTTAACAATCACATTAACTGATGCTTTTGCATCATACAAGCCATCATTAACACTGACAACAAGATTGTAAGCATTTCGAGTTTCGTAATCCAAATTCTTGACATTTAACTGACCTTAAAAAAAAATCAGACTTGATGAGACAAAATGACAGATGAGATAAAAAAAAATAATAAATACTATTGAAAATACTTAAACCCATTTTTTCAGTTTAAAAAATAATATTCTCAGTTTGAAAAATGTTATTCAAAAATGGACAAGATAAAGTGAAGAATGTAAATGATGATGAAATTAACAAAATGAAGAAAAATATTTTAATAGATTAATATAAATTTTCAAAATATTTTGAATTTTAATTAAAAAAAATGAATAAATTTTAGAGTAAGATTGGTGGATGTGGCACAGGAACAATTTAAAATTGTGCTTCAATATTAGTATAATAGACATTTTATTTTTGGTTACTTTAAACATAAATTAAACTTAAAATTAAAGCAATGATTATGCATGTAAATGCAATGAGAAGAGAATGAAATTTTAAAAAAATTAATAAATAATAAAGAACTTGAATTGGTAATACATAATAAAAATGAACATTTTCATGAGTCATTTTTATAAAAACTCAATTATTTAAAAAAATAAAGGGATATTTGAAAATAAATTTTTTTTATACCAGTTTCAGAATTAATTTGAAAAACATTTCCAATATTGCCGCTTTCAATTGAGTATTTTAAAGCCTCATTTCCATCTTTATCAGTTGCAAACAAGCATAACAAACTAGGAATTATTCCTGAATTTTCTTTTACATATACAGTCACTGCCGAACGAAAAAATTCTGGAGGATTATCATTTAGATTTATTATTTCTGTATAAAGAGCAGTTTTGGTAAACTGTTGTGAACCTTCAACTCGTATAGTTATTTCCATAAATAAATAAGCGTCTTGTTCAAAATCAAGTTGCCGAGTTGTAGTTATAACACCAGTTTCTCTGTCTAATGCAAGTCCTCGGGGACTATTTCCTGAAATTTCATAGATAACTTTCCTCCCAAAACCTGGGCTTCTTGCAAACACAGCACCTACAAAAGAATCTTGATCTTCTCCTTCATCTATAGTTTCAGTCATCATTGTTCTTGATGCAATGGGTGGGCTTTGAAAAGATGGTCTTACATTCACTTGCAAAAACATCATACCATATCTCTGAAACTTTCCATTATCTTGTGCTTTTATATATAAACTGTACGAACCTATATTCTTAAAAATGGTGTTTGTTGTAACAGCTCCTGTTTGCTTATCAACTCTAAAATAACCAATACCACTACCACCAACTGCATAATAGGATACTTCACCATTAATTCCACTGTCTTTATCAGTTGCTTTAACAGTTACATCAAGCTGAGTATTAATATTTGTATTTTGCAAAATATCAATACAAACTGTACTAGGGTTAAACTGAGGTGAATACATATTAAAATTATACTGTTGGATTTTTACTGTTAAACTAACAGAATAAATACCAAAGCCATCCTTAACTGTAATTACAAGCATATATTCTTGTTGTTTAGCAGTCTTTAGTGATTTGGCTAATGTAATAACACCACTTTTTTTGCTAATATAAAACAGATTATCGCTATCACCGCTAAGGGAATACTCTAACTTAGAATTATAGTCAGCATCTGTAAGAACAATATAAACAAATGACTTAACAGGCAAATCCTCACGTATTGTAACAGAGAGTTGATTTTGAGAAAAGTGAATAGGAGGACGCTTGTTAGTGTTTTCTGGAGGATAATTTGATACATCTATAACTTGTATATATACATTACTTTTAGCACTACGAGGTTCATTTGATTTGTCTTGTGCAATTACAACAAGTTCATAACTACTTTTAACATTTGCATTTAAGTTTGAAGCAACTCTAATTTCTCCAGTTGAAGGATTAATGTAAAAGTCATCAACTTGCTTTTCAAAGTAGTAATATATTTCTGAATTTGGACCTTCATCATTGTCAGATGCACTTACTTTCATAACTGACGATGATATTTTAGCATTCTCTTGAACACTTCGCCGGAGACTATTGTAAATAAAAACTGGAGGATTATCATTTACATCACGAATATGAATTCTTATTGTTTGTTTTACAAATTTTTGATTTTCACCAATACCACCATCATTTGCTTGTATTCCTAAATCCAGAAAAGGGGTGTATCTTATTTCATCTCTATCAATACTTTTCAAAGTACGCACAACAAGCAGTTTTATGCCATTCACATCACGTACGCTAAGCTCAAATTCATTTTTGTTATTTCCTTCAGTAATTGAATAGTCTTTTATTCCAGAACTGTCTAAATCTGTAGCAAAACAGTCTTCTAAACCAGAAACAATTGATCCTGCAGGTAGACCTTCTTCAATTTCACCAACATACATTTCTTTTTTAGAAAATTTAGGAGAATGGTTATTGGAATCAATAACCTGAAACTTCCTCGTATATGCTGTTCCTCCATATTTTTTGTTTTTGTTTCTAAGCACGACAGTTAAAAAATAATAGTTAGGTTTGTCTAGTTCAAAGTTTAGTTGTCCTTTTAAAACTACATTGCCGTTTGGCTCCACTCTAAATAAAGCTAAACCATCTGGATCACCCCATTGGTAGGTTATATATTGAAAACCGTTTTTTGGACTAGGAAATTCGTGTATCTTGCTTCCGATTACAGACGATTCGTCAACATTAACAGTTAAGAAATTTGAGTTGACACTTGAAACTATTAAAATAATTGTAATGAAGAATTTGATTAATTTTATAGAAAACATTTTTGATATAACTATTAAATATGAAAAAAAAGTATGTTTGACGATTTTCATTCAATGTCATTATCGGGTTTAAAGCAAGAATAAAATATTTATAAAATGATAAAATACTAAACAAAATATATAATAGACTTATTCATCACTCATATTTTGGATTTTAATACATCGCGTTGCATTTAATTGCGGAGATAACTTTATTTAAACATTGCGGTGATAAGATATTGAATCCTCAATTTTGTCAAAAATATTTTGATACAAAATAATTTGATTATCTCAGTTATCTCGCTAGTCTTACATTGCATAGGTGTAATGAATAAAATACTTTATATAGTTGGTTTAGTTAATAATTTATTACAAACAATAAAAAATAAGAACACAGCAGGTCTATATGTATAGACTTAATTTTTGTATAATCAGAAAAATTTTAAGGAGCAAAAATAAAGTTTATTCTCCAAGATCTATTATGAGCACAAGAAACGCTTTTTTTAAACTATATTTCAGATTAAAAGTGACAGTGTGTAACAATGGGAAAGAAAAAACGGATTGGCCAGTTGTAGTTAGTGACGCAGCTTAGGATTTGTTCTTGAACGTATTAAATATTTTGAAAAAAAAAACAATTTATTTGTTAAAGAATGAAACACTGAGTTCAGAATAGATTAAGACTTCTTGGGGCCCGGGGCTATTTTTGTTTTTGGAGGTCATATTATGGACCAGAGCCAAAAAAAAAAGGTCCTCTAAAATTTTTTGGGGTCTCTAAATTTGCGGGGCCCGGTGCTATAGCCCCTAGCCCCTCCTTCCTTTCTTGGTCCGGCACTGGAATCGTTTGCTATCGTTTTATTACCATAAATTTAAAAATTTTCAAATAACTTGACATTTTTGTATGAGTTTTACTACATGGACATAAAAATTGAATTCTGACAAATTAACTTATGTTTACATTAAATAGAATAAGGCTAAAGAACTTCAAGTGACCGGTTAAAAGTTTTTTTTTTTTTTTTTTTTTTTTTTACCATGTTTATATTTTTAACTTATGTTCAAAAAATGGTTATCAAAACAATATAAATTAAAAAAATGGAATGAAGCTATTATACATATTGGTTATTTTACAATTAGTTAAATCGGAGAAAAGGTAAACACTGTTAAAAACACGGTAATCCTACAGTTAATAAGCGGCCTAAATATATTTTTTTATTTTGCTTATTGCGATTTATTTTGTTATTGCAAAAAAAAGTCTCCACTAACGCGTCAGTGAGACTTTTTTTTGCAATAACAAAATAAATCGACGCGTCAGTCTTTTTAAAATTGCTACCCCAATCTTAGTGGTGGCAATCTTGTGTTAGCAGACTATAAGATAGTATAAGATAGTCGATGTGTGTACTGAAGCCAATAAATATTTTTTTTATGTTTTAAATGTCTCCACGGCACAGTGGGCCAGAATTCACTTGGATAAAATTAACTAATAAAATATTTGACCTTTTTTTTACTAAATTTGGTATAAGTGCTAACATACGATTTGTCTTTTATAAAGTAATAAATATTTTATTTGGGTGCTATGGATACCTAATTTAGCATAGCAACAACCTATTTTTAGTAGTAGCAGATTTATTTGTTTTAAATCTAAATCAGATTTAATTGTTATATGATTATTTATTATGTAAAATATATATTTATGTTTCTTTAGGGTAGATTAGGGTAATATGAGCACCTTGATAATATGAGCATGCTTAAAGATTTCTAAGATGTAAGTGGTGAAGTTAAAGTTGCTTTTTTTTTTTTGAATCAACTTTACTTGGTGATAACAGAAATCGGTATAATTAGCGTAAATTTATATGCAGTAATTAGCGATTCTCATCTAATTAAAACGATATTCAAGTTGTTTTGTTGTTAAAATATTATCATTACGCATGAATAAATCTGTGGCACAAAATTTCAATGCTAAAAAATAATAAAATTTAATTTTTCATAAAGAAAAATGTGCTAGCTAGAAATCCGTTTTATTTTTGTTTGAAAATTAATGCATAGAAACATTTAGTTTTGACTTTATTTAAGCATACCATTTTTGTGTTATATGAGCACCCAGTGTTTTTCATAGAAATTGTGTAGTTTAAAATCCAAAAATTGCAGCGGTTTTAATTGCTTTTTTAAAAACAGTAAAAAAATTTAATCTTTTAATGATAAGTTTTGTTAATAACGAATCGTTATACTCCACAAATTATATCCAATTGTCAGATTGGTATTTGTTATTATTTTTTTGAGCTAATTTAAAGTACTCATATTACCAAGTGGTCTGGGTAATATAAGCACTTTTGCTATTTTTTTAAAACCTCTGTGTTTTTAAGAAAAAATTTTGGGTGCCCAAAAAATCTAAGTGGATCATGAGTAGTGATCCCTAAAAATTGCTTATTCGCAAAATTTTTGGATCTAACATAATCATTTTTGAAAATATTCCAATTTTCATTTAAGTTGTTTATCTACCCTACACTATATTTAGTACGTGCATGAACATAAGGTTCGCACTTTTTATGAAAATGAAATATTATGGGATTGGTTGCTATGGATACCTAATTTTGCATAGCAATAACCTGTTTTTGGTTGGCATATGTTTTGTACGTGGTATATACATTAATTTGGCATGAGTACCAATACAAAGTCGCATTTTATACAAAACTGATATTTTTTTTTTATTTAGCTGCTATGCATACTTATATTGTTTAACAACCAGATACTTTCCTTAGTTACACAGAGGTAAATAAATTTTTGAATAAATTTTTAGCGAGTTTTTAGCCTTCCTATTATAACTAATTATTATTAATAATAAATAATATTCCTATTATTGTTAATTATAAATAATAATTAAATATAAAAGTAATTAATGTTAGCTAATTAATAATAAAAACACAAAATAGTGCAAGAAAACGTTGACATTTTGAAATACATCAACAATTTATAAAATATACATTATGCATATATGCATAAAATAAGAAACCATACTTTTCGTCAATCGACAAATTTAAATAATAAGATTGAACTTTTATGATATGTCTTTTCTAATTCAGCTTAAAGTGACATTAGCTTCCTTAAAATGACATTAAAATGATATTAGCATCGATAACTGTGACTAAGTATTACCCTTTTAATGTTAAATTATAATAAAATAGCAATCAATACTGTTCTTATGCTAAAATATTAAAAAAAAAAAAAAAACTTTGAGCAGGGGCTAGTGATCGTGAAAAAAGCTGTTAACTTTTTACCAAATTATTATTAAGCCGGAAAGATGATTTGGAATTATTTAACAACGGATATAATAAAACAATTCTATAAGTTTAGTTACTTATATAGAGATAATGTTATATAAGATTTTAGACGTGTTGCAGCATATCAAAATTTTGATTTTTGCCTATTGCCGGCCCACTGCCTCAATGTAGGATTACCGAAGTCACACCCAAGCGAAGGCCCAAAAGAATAAAAATATAACTTCATGTATAGAGTAAGGGGTAAAAGAATATTTTGTTTGCATAGACTTGCGTAAGAGTAAGCAGTTTAGCTTCAAGCATTACTGGATTATCCAATAGGTTAGATTAGGTGATGGGGCCACCGTTAATAAGGGCTCCTAAAAATAGTTTTCCAAATTTTTTTTATTTGAACAATAATTAAATCTTATGTTTTATTGTGAATTAATCAATAACGCGAATAACGTGAACAGTTCTTGTTTTTATACTCATTATTATAATAAAAAATAATTTAAAAAAATATAAACAATTTACATATTAGAAATGTACAAATGCGTTGTAATAAAGTTAACACCATTTCTGGTGCAATTAGATTGATGCATATTACTTACCATTTAAAATATGTGAATATATACAAGCTATAGCGCAAAATAAATTTAATTTTAACTATTTTCTCGTCTGTAGATGTTTCTGGAATGTTTAGGAAAAGCAAAGTAAGTAAATTTCAAAATTTAATTTAATATTAAAACTTGCGGAGAAAAAAAAAATCATTACGCTGCTGATTCAGCTAAAACTTTAAAAAAGTTAGAAAAATTTTAAAAATAAATTTCCCCATTTTTACCATCCAGTGAACAAATCGAAACTGAAATGAAATAGTAAAAAACTAGTTTTCATGAAAGCAGAATATTTAAGCCAGTGTAAGAAAATTTACATTTTCATCACAAAATTGCTCGTTTTGAAGGCTCGTTTTGGTTCTCATGTTTATCAAAATAAGTTAAACCTTCAGAATGACAGCTGTTTGATATTGTTCAGAGAGTACGTTTTATGGAAAAAATGCAAATCGCGAAAAGTTTTTGCTTGAATGTTTTATTTATTCCCCAACAACAACAGTGATAGATTATTTCCCCAACAACAACTGTGATAGATTGAGGTTTAGTATCGTGGAAGGGGGTGAAGGGGCAGGGAATTAGTAGGGGGCAAGAAGGGTTGAGGGTAGCACATTAACTCTCAGAAATATTTATTATAAAGAATCAAACTCGTGATAAATATATTTTATTGATGCATTTACCCAATCAGCAACGATATACCGGTTCGGCAATGGCCCAGCGCAGGCTGCGGAGCTGGTCCGTATCTGGCTGGCCAGCACTGGGCCAGCGCCGATTTGCTCACTGGCTTTTTCACAGTCCAGCACTGGTTTGCCAGTGCAGGCGCAGTGCTGGTGTTTCATTGGTCCGCCATTGGCAAGCCAGTGATGGCTTATCAGCGGTCCGCAAATGGCAAACCCGTACTGGTCTAACGCAGGTCCCCAAATGGCTCACCGGAGCGGTCCATCAAAAAAGCTTTAATAAATATCTAAGGAGCTTTAATATAAAATATTTTAAAATTATACAACAAACCATTAATACCCTTATAGTTTGTAAATTAACATAAAACAGGTATAAAGAAATATATTCTGTAATTTAAACTATCACATGTACATAATAAAAACATAACTACAACATAAAATACAATATTAATACACGAAAAATATAACTACATTATGAATATGGGAAACAACTTTTAAAACGTTTCTGAAGAAACTATAAGGTAGCAGCATTTAACATAACTAATTTTTAACATAACTAATTGTTTGAGTCGTCTGAGTAAAAAAGTGGCAAATAATGCAGTGAAACTTCCGCTGAAGTTTTAGGCAATACTAAAGGTTGTTCTATAACTGCCGATGAAGCTGTAGGCATTAGTGCACTATGTTCAAAGTGAGTTTTTTTTATTGATTGTCGAATGGCTTTTTGTTTTCTACCACAATTACGTACGCTAGCTCCTGCTAAATAGTGAACCACGGCCTTCTGCACATCACTTTCTGAAGCACCTTTCGTTGGTGGATTTCTTCGCAATGCTTCTGCAAATGTGCATCATAATATAATACACAGTTAAGCCCTGATTTAGTTCACATTATTATAATAACATTTAATATTACTAAATAAAATATTTTCTTTACATTAAGTATTTCTAGTAATTAAAATTTAATATCATAAAATAAGCAATTTTGATGCAGTAAACAACTGTTTCTGAGGTTCATTTGCTAAAATATAGGTGATATTAACAAAAATTAAGTTTCGCTTACTTTCCAGAACTTATTGGCATTTCAAGACACGAAAGGGTTTTTTTAGATTTTCACCAAGTTCTGACCAATTCATATGTTTTACTACGTCGTTTTCCATTAGAGAGAAAACCATCCTTCCATTGCTGCCTTATGCCAAACCCTTAGTCAATGTAGCAGCACTTCCTTGAAGGAGCAGGCTATAAGATAGTCAATGAAGCAACACTCCCTTGCAGCAGCAAGTTATAAGATTATGGATGTAGCAGTACTGCTTTGTAGGAGCAGGTTATAAGATGTACTAAAATCGATGTAGTAAAGCCAAAAAATATTTTTATTTTTATATTAATATGCCCTCTGAGAATAGTCTTATTTTTAATGTTAAAGGTTATAAGATGCCTAATGCAGTAAATATTTAAATTTTAACCTAAATGTAAAAATATAAAACAACGAAATAATTTCAATTATAAATATTATGCAGGTTAAAATTTTCAATAAATAAAATTATAAGAAACAAATATAAACAACATATTAGATTTAAACAAAATAAGAACCAAATTAATAATATATATATATATATATATATATATATATATATATATATATATATATATATATATATATATATATATATATACATATATATATATATATATATATATATATAAAACACGTTTATATAGGTACAAAACGTTTGCTGTCTTAAAAACTTCAAATGGATTTTTGCCAGCTTGGTTGTTGCGAAATGATTTATTAATAGTTCAAAGTCAATGCTCTCAGCAAGTTCAGATTCGATTAAAATTAATTTCGATCCAAAAAGACATTGTTTTGTCATTGTTGATCACTGGTAGTTTTTGATAATTTCTAATCTACTGAAACTTCTCTCATCATAAGCAGATGTAAAAGGAAAATTCAAGTCAATTTTTTAGAGTATAGACAAGGTGGGAAAACATGATTTTATCAATTTCTTTCTTAAGTGTGGATCTACGTCTTTGTTTGTAGTTCAGTTGTTATTGCTGGAGATATTCATGCATAAACATTTTTGAAAGTAGTAAGTATCAAATTTATATCAAATTTAAAAAAGTACAATGTTCATCACTGTTGCACACTATTTTAACTAGTTTTTTTTTTTTTTTTTTTTTTTTTTTTAAAAAAAGTCGTTTACTATATGCAAAATCATTGAAGTTTTTATGAACATCCGTCACGTGAACGTCAGTCACAGTAGTTTTGATAAACCGAACTATGTTAAAAATGCATTGACTGTGGACATTATGATTATAAGAGATATTTTCATAAAACAAAACGTATCCGTTTTGTTTTCTGCTATCAATGCGGTCAAATTTAAAAGTAGGTATGTAAACGATGGTTTGTTGTTACCTAGTTTTCTATTTCCATTGAAAATAAACACAGAATTTTGTAATGAGAAACTAATATTTTAGAAGTGTCAGTTGACTGGCTTAGGGAGTGCAGGGGGTAGCTCCCCTTTGTTTTCAATGGTCAATGTTGAATCCACCACTGCCAAGAACAAGTTGTGTGATCTGTAAAACTTTTATTAGTACCTGACTGGGATTCATTTTGTAGTTTCCTTTGTATTTCTTGGCTGATGTCTATTTTCTCTCAGCTAAATAATGCGCCTCTATTATAACTCCTGAATTTAGGCTGGCATAGAAGTTTTTATTCTTTTTGTTGGTTTCAAATCAAGTCGTATTCTACTGTACCGAAAAAAAAAAAAATTTTCTTTTTTTGTTAAAATTTCTAATCATAATCATATTTTTCATCTTTTTTGAAGAACAAATCTCTAGAAAACCGATTTTTTTATTGCAAGAAATTGATGCAAAAAGGTACAGTCTAGTATTATGATCCATTTCTTAGATTATTAAATCTCATAATTGATTGTAGAAGTAAGTTTGAATTAAAAATAATAATCTAAAGTAGAAGTTACTCCTAGTAAACATTTTGTGTCTAAAGAAAAGCCACTAGCGATAGAATTAATGACTGGAAGAATATTTTTGAATAACATCAACATCAAAAAGCCTTCACAGAAAATGCATTTTAACATATGTTCAACTTGCAACTTAAATTCCAGACGGAGAAAAATTTCTGTAAAGAAGTATTAAAAGGTCTTAAACTACTCATCATAACGTTATCAAAGCGAGGTTTATCTTATCGCGGATCAAACAAACATTTTGGTGTTTCAGATAATGGAAATTATTTGGGTTTGCCAGAACTTGTAGTTATGTTTAACCCATTTTTAAAAAACCCCATCGCAACATATGTAGATAAAGATAATCTATCCTACTAATCAAAAACAATTTGCAAGGACTTGGTTAACATAATTGGGAAAAAAAAATACAATCTTACATTATACAAGAGATTATAGTCGCTTGCTAGTTTAGTGATTCAGTTGATTCAACTCTTTATACTGCTCACATTATCCAACTGAGGTGTAAATGAGAGTAATATCTAGAGATCACAGGTTTAAAGGTCACATATTAAAGTTTGCTATTCTAAACTTTACAAAACATTGGTTCATGACAACCCTGCATCTGTTTTTCCAAACGTCGAAACTGATCTTCCTTTTTTTAACACTTATGATTACAAACTGTTCAGCTTGTATTTTTTTATTAATTTTTATTAATTAATTTTATTAATTTGATTAATTACGAAATTTATTTATTCGTTTAAATTCAAACATTTTTTTTTTACTAATTTTTTTTTTCGCTATTGATTTTTTAATTTAAATTTATTTTACTTGATTAGATTCTTCTTTTTTTTTGTTTTTACTTTTACTTCCTCATTTTACTTCCTCTTCTTTGTTTTTGTTTTTACTTTTACTTTTCTTTTCGTTAATAAAATTTTTTTTTAATCTGTTGAAAATAAGATTTTGGCCATTTGCAATGTCATTGGAAAAACAAAGAATCAGATATTCTTTGCGAGATAAATTTCGGTCATCTCATATGAACGATTTTATTAATAAAAGATTAAGGAAAAAATAATTAAGGGCGTATAGACGGGTTGCTTTGTTTACATTCTAAAGCGCGTGCGCAAAAAACGACAGGCGAAAAACTACGTAAAAGTTATGGTGTGAAGTTTGTACAAGTAAACTATGTGAATAAAAAGTCTCACGAAGTGGAACCAGCGCGATAAAATATGCCAATATTTGTTAACCAGTATCAAAAAATACTTTTCCAATTTTTAAAGGTAAAATAAATTTAAAATTAATAGGATATACTTCTATTAATCTATACTTCTATCAAACCAGGGAAGTTATAGAAAAACCGAGAATTCGTATCAAAATTTACATAAATTAGCATCAAAAGCTGTTGTTTTTAAAATTTTTAGTAGGTAAATCGATGAAACAGAGAACTTTAATGAAACAGACACTGCATATGAGAATGAGTTTTACAAATTTCACAATTATATATAATTTAAAAAATAGTTTCACAAGTCTTTATAAGTCAAATAATGTAATATTCTAAAATTGTTTGCTATATTCCAAAAGATTATAATCTTAAAATTGAAAGTATTGCAAAATATAAACTTTTGAATGCAATGTCTCCACAATCGCTGGTTTGTACATTAATGCTGATTATCCTTACTGCAAGTCAAGATAAAATTGAAAAATAAAATTGTCATGGAACAAGTATTTTTTAAATGAAACTCTCTTTAATAACAGAAACAGCTTAGAGTTGTGAAAAGATGACCAAAATTATCCACTTAATAAAAATGGTCTAATTAAAACTAATCACAAGTATTACTATTAAAGACAACAACAAACAATGGTAACGAAAACAAAATATTATCTGTTAAAGTAATGGAAACATGACAAATGATAAACTCTGTATCTTTAAAAACAAACTTAAAACAGTTTTTTAAGAATTAATTTTACATTTAAAAAATTGTTACAAGAAAATTGAATCCAAATCAACTACAGCTGTTCTGCGTGTGTAAATTTTCATTGTCCAGTCAAATGGTATCATTACCTCTGTCTTCAAATAAAAAACATTTTTTTTTTACCTGCATTTTGCAGCATAAAGACAATATAATAAGCTTTTGTGTAACACTATTGTATTTAAATAAATGTAACTGCAATTACATTTAATTAGTGAAAAAGATTTATATATATATATATATATATATATATATATATATATATATATATATATATATATATATATATATATATATATATATAAAATATATATATATATATATATATATATATATATATATATATATATATATATATAAATATATATATATATATATATATATATATATATATATATATATATATATATATATATAAACCTAATTGTAAATTTGAAAACCTTTTAATTGGTATATAATATGTTGGCTGCAAAGTATGTGCTGAAATATAATTAAAATTCTTTATTTTTTTGCCTGTTCGCAAACTTTTGGACGCTACTGTATATATATATAACATAATATTATATATGTTTTATATATATAAATATATATAATATCATTATTATATATTGATATCAGACTATATCTGTAATTGAAGATTTCCTCAAATATTAACTAATTAAATATTATAAATATTAATATGACATGCTTCCTTTAGCCGACAAATATACATGCACTGTAAATGCGTAAACATACATGCACTGTAAACGAAAAATATACATGCACTGTAAATGCGTACTGGTGTACCTTTGCAGGACCGCCTACAGTTTACCAGCGCTGGTGCGCCTTTATAGGGCCTATGTAAGGCCAATGACGGCATACCGGCGCTGGAGAACCGTTATCGGCATAGCTATGGTCCAGACATGGCTAACCAGCTCTGGCGCGCCCACTGATCTTTATAATAACTGGATAGCGCATCTCTATCATCAAAAGTGAAGCCAATTTTTTGTACGGCCGCCATATTGGAAAGCCCCAGAATACCGAAAATACAGTGATTGCGCTTGAAGATGTACCTTTTTACTTCGTTTATATCTACTCGGCCAAGTCACATATTTCAATGATATTATTATATTTAAAATGTTTGAAGGTGTAAAAATTATAAAAGGGAATTAAAAACACGCAAAACATTAAAGACGAAGAGAAATATCGCTATAAAGAAATAATAATATTTGTATTGCTTTCTTTGAACTAGTTAAATTTATTGAATTCATGATATTCTAAATAAAACTTTTCTGAAAGACAAATTGATATTTGATCTAGTTACTTTTGGGTGTTTATTTCAACAACTTGATGCGACCTTACTTAGCAATAGTAGCTGGAAAGTAACTTTACAAGTATAAAACATGATAAAAACATTGTATCAAACA